CCATTTTAGTATATTATAATTTTGACAGATTCAAAACCAAAAGGTAGTATCGATACCACCACTAAGAGTACCAGTACTACTATACTAAGTAGTATCGATACTATATATAGTATTAGTACCATTTTAGTATTTTATTTTGACACACTTATATACAGTATCGGTATTGCCTTAGTAGTATCGATACTACTTCATCATTTTAGGCTTCAGCATCGATATTTGTATCGATACTTCTTGAACAATATTGATATTATTCTAGTAGTATAGGTACTGTTATGCTTAAAAATCTTTTTTGATTCTATTGAAGTTCGAAACTTTAGTAAAAATTATTTCAAAAATATTTCTAGTATAGGCTCAATTTTTCAGTAGAATGAGGAGTAAAATTGATATTTTAACTTTAAAGAATAATTTATATATTCGAAAGATTGATTTGAATATAATCTTAAAATTTGTAAAAAAAACTATTTAACAATTTTTTGTATATCAAAATCAAAGTGTTTTCAACATAATGATTATTTATAAGTTAACAAGCTAAATAGATTTTGGTGTTAGATAGTAGATTTAGTTGATTACAAGAGTTTGTTATTGGTCATGTCAAAACACTGTAACTAGTTAAGGATATAAAATTCTTTTTGACTTCAAAAAAAACTCCATAATTTTAATAAACGAGAAATTACCACCAAAATGTAATTTCAAGTAATTTAATAAATCATGATTTAGAAGTACGTAGAATTTATCATTTTTTATGTCCTTAACATTACATATAATTGATTGTTCCTCCTCTCAAAAAAAATATTGATTGTTCCTCAAAATATCGAAAGAACTCACTACAAAAAATGTGTAATTACTGATGGAATTTTTAAGGGAATTCGTAACGAAATTTAATTTTATTAACGAAATTTTTTAGGGAAGAGAGTAGCCAGTAAAATGTTGGTTGAAACCAATATTTCTAAGGAATAAAGTAACACGTTAGAAGTTTACTGAAGGAAATCGGTCAGTATATTACTAACGAAAAATATAAAATATGTCAAAATGTTATATATAGGTTAAATAATATATTTTATGTTTCCGATGAACATATATTTTCCGTCGGAATGTTATATAAATAAAATACTAAATTTTATGTTTCCAGCGACATATCTTTTCCTTCGGGATATTTAAAAATATAAAAAGAAAATATAAATTTTTAATTTCTGATGGATTACATGTTTTCCGTCAAAAATTTAAATCTTAGTTTTTTTTTAAAAAAAAGAGGGAAAATTTATCGGGATTATACCCAAAAAAATTTCATTCCCTCCAAAAATGATGAATCCAAAATTTTATTTAATTCATTAATGTACCAAAAATTAATAATAATATAATTGACATAATTACATTAATTTAAAAAATCAGATAATAATAATACTAACAAGTCCTTAATAAGAAAATAATAATATATGATGAATAATTAAATTCACCATATTAATTAAGATTAAATATAGATTTACAACATATATTTAACAATTCAATGTTTCTAATATATATATATGGCTGTAAACTATACATAAAAAATACAATATTCAATAATTAGAAAAGAGTAAAATACAAAGTTAGCATACTAAAGAATTGTTATAATTTAAAAATTTCCAAGCAACCTACAAAATATAATAAAAGATGTTAGTGATTAATTACAAATAATAAAATAAACAAGTATATATTAAAAGAAATTACATTGCACAAAACTAAAACTTACATCAATATTGATAATAATGATAATAAAAGATGATGAAATTAAGAGAAGAACTTTTGGGGAGAAAAATGAGTTAATAAGAATAGATGAAATGAGAAAAAAATGAGAGAAAAATGAGTGTAGAAAGGTTTAAATAGGGAAAAATTAGGGAAAAAATGGATAAATTTAAAATTTTATGGTGCAATGGAGGGAAATTGAAGGAAGTGGAAGCGGGTACAAAAAAACTCCAAAACATTGTGACAAAACATGTAGACCCATCACAAATTTGTGACAAAATAGGTGGATCTGTCAGAAATTTGTGACATATCCATAAATTTCTTCACAAATTTAAAACACTTTTTCTAATTTTTTTTAAAATTTATCATATAAAAAAAGAATCATCCAGCCAAGTGCACTGACCAAAAAAAATATGCTTCCCGCAATAACTCCATAAATTAAATTCCAATGCCACAAGCAGCAACATGAAGGCAGAGAAGCTGGATCGAGTAGTTATATTTGTTTGAGTAGTTGAAATGAAATATCTAAACTATATTCGAGAGATGGAGTTGGGAGCTATATAAGCCAGATTAGATATCTAAATAGCCAAATTAAAATTATTTAAAATTTTAGTAAAATATATTGTAATAAAATTAATTTCAATAAGTATTATCTAATTTTTTTTGATAAAAAATGAGATAATAGGAAGAGAAGAAATGAGAATAAAGAAATTAGAGAAAATGAGTTTAGAAATGAGAAGAAACCAATTTTATGTTTCAATGGAGGAAAATTGGAGGAAATGAGCGGGTAATTAAAAAAACTCTAAATTTTGTGAGAAACAAGTGGACCCGTCTCAAATTTTATGTTTCAATGGAGGGAAATTGGAGGTAATGAGCCGGCAATTAAAAAAACACTAAATTTTATGACGGAACATGTGACCCGTCACAAATTTGTGATGGTACACATGTTCCGTCACAAAATTAAAATACTTTTAAAATTATTAGATAAAATAAAAATAGAATAATAATCGTTTTGTTTCTTTTGTAATATATTGAGTAGTTATATTGTGCAAATTAAAAAAAAAAAAAATAGAATTTTAATTTTAATTTTTTAAAAATAAACAAGGTAATTATCTCTAAAAACCTCTCTCTAAATCCCAAGGGAGGAAAAGTGCACTAACCTTGTAGTCTTTTCATTGATGAACAAATAAAAGTATTGAACCATTAAAATTCAACAAAGCATAAGATAATATTCAGGCGTGACATTATCTTTGGGCATTAACCTTTGCATTATTAGACAAAGGTCATCGTAGCATGCATTAGGAATCTGATATTGTGCTTTCGAGTGTATTAATTCGGAAACCATCGATGACTTGACTCATTGCCACCAGACCATATTGGTTCAGAAGAAGTACCAGGTCTATCGTAAAACATCTGCATCAAACCAATTGGTGTTTGATCATCTTCTGCCATAATGCATTAATTCAAGACCACTAATATCTACTTCATGGAAATCATGATTGTTACCACATGGATCATAGTAACCAGTGAGAGAAAAATGTGGCTCTCCATTATGCACCCAATTGTAATAATGTGAAACAAACCCTTCGTTGATCACATGAACTTTAACCATTTCTAGATTTCAAAAACTTTTTTTGCATTTAGGTCGATTACATGTACACTTAATATTTTTGATTTGCAAATCTAGGTTTACTTAACGCAAATGTGATTAACTCCACCAGTGGCCGCTCAAATGATTAATAATGTGACCATTTATTAGCCTATCAATATTGTACATCCAAGATCGATCCATACTGAATACCAAAACACGTTTCTATTGTATTATTAAATTATGATACTTAGATTAGTGAAATTTTAAATATTAATTTTAAATTTATATTTTAAAATTTTTCTAAAAAAATAGGAACTTGTGGTATTATTATTGTAAATTACATGCAAAAATTTTAATTACTATTTTTATTTATACACAAAAAATATTATTAAACTCTGTTGCATGCAAAAATATTTTTTTTACTTTTTAATATATTTTGTAGCTTTTTAATTAATAGTATAATACTAATAAATCGATAGCATTATGTTTAATAAATCCAAACTTACCTCAGCTCACAAATTCTGTGGAAAATTTCAGAGTTCTGGAAAAAAAATACCAAAAATAAAAATTTAAAATATTATTTTTCTTATAAATGTAAAAAATAATATCTATGTTATCAATATCAATGATGGATCTAGAAATTAAAAATTTGGGTCCAAAATTTTAATACCCCATTCTAAAAAAATTTGGGTATACAAATTTTCTTATTTTTTCTATTCCTATTAACAAATTAAACTAAATTTAACACTTTTCTCAAAATAATGGGTGTGCAATGGCTCCCCTAGGGAGCCATGTACATCCGCCCCTGATCAATATCATTAAAAATAAGTTTATTAATTAATTAGAAACAACTTGCATTAACTATATAAAAAGTATGAAGTAGTAACTAAATAATTTAGACAAACAACATTTTCCAATCTAAAATTACAATATAAAATAAAATAAAAAAGATAAATTCATATAAATAAAAAAAGTAAAGGATAAATATATATAAATCATTATATTATAATTTCAAGTGGACATATAAAAGAAAAATTAAATATTTAATATAATATAAAATAAAAATGAGAAATTCTTATAAATCATATATTATAAATGTATATATCAAAAAAATAAGGATAAATGCATTTAAATGGTAATTGTTTACAGGTGGTGATAATATTTTTTATTTTTTTTCTTTCTGATGGAATAATTATTCTATCATAAATTAAATTTGTATATTTTAGTTAAAGTGAACAAATTTGACGAATCATTGTTCCATTATAAATTAAATTGATATTTTTTATTGAAATGAACAAACTTTCTAACAGAAAAAAAATTCGGTCTAAAACTACAATTAGGTCACAACTTTGTGACAGAATAATTTATTTTCATTGGTAAATTGTGATAGATTTTAAATCCGTCGGAATTTTTCCGTCAGTAATTTGAATTTTTTTTGTAGTGACTCAGCACATATATTTTAATTGTGATTGATTAATGATAAAAAATATAATTAAAAAATATTAATACATTGGTCAAAATAGGTTAATAAATTATTTAATTTTAAATAACTAGTCATAATACCGTTGGTTTTTTTAAAAAAAAATTTCGTTTACTAATACGTAGGTTCACGAAATGTACATAAAACCGTTAAAGACGGCTTAACCGATTTTTTATTTATTATTTAAACCACTAAGCTCTCAACCTATTAATCGTGGCTACCACCGCTTCCACGGGTATCATTTCCAGAATTAATATTGGTTCTATCAAGATTGTTATAATCACCAGAGATGCTATCATCCCCTCCGCTGTTTCCGCCATCTGCGGGGCTGGTCCGGCGAGATTGAGCTTGGTTCAATGCTTCATTAAAGTCGCTTATAGCTTCCTCGACCAGTTTCTGCATGGTTTCCTCGTCAAGCTCCTGACAGTTGTTATGATCACCTCCCGCTTCCAGTACAACGTCCAGCAAATCATCAGCAAGTTTTTGTATGGCTTTATACATCGAAACAGCTCTCTTATGTTCTTCAATTGCACTCTCCACTGAACTTAACAGTGCTTCCATGTATGTTTTCTCGTTTCGCATTATTACCAGCTCAGCTTTCAGGGTCTCAAGTGCATCCTGTATCTCCAACATGCAAAATAAATAAATAAATAAACGTAAAACAACAAGCAAAAAGCTAGCGTTGAACCGACGTTTCATGGCCTTCAAAAAGGGCAATACCTGCCAATACGATAGGCGTATAGGCATAAATTGAACGTAATAACTTTAAGACGAAGCAAATTTATAAAATTTTACGGGATAAAAATATATTATCACTTAAAAATATAAAAATATTTAAAATATATATTAATTTAATTTTTTTTAAGAAGACGATCGTTTCAATTCACCCCTTTAATACATCCCTATCTATGAGCCACTTATATGAAAAAGGAAAAGGAAAAGGGAAAGGGAAAGGAAAGATATAAATTAAGAATATGAAGCAGAAATGTTACCATCTGCGCGGCAGTGGAGGGATTTGAGAGTTCAAAATTGTCTGGCGCATAAAAATAAAGCAAAGGAAAGGGTTACATATATAGCAACATGGAAGAAAACGCGTGAAAATTTCACTTCCAACAAAAACACGTTTTCTTTCCTACTGTTGTGGTTATAGTTCAATGTATCAAAAAGAGAGAACAAACCGCGTTTTTATTCTTATTTATTTTGTTCTTTAATTACTTATGAACTTAAGGTATTATTAAGGTTTTGTTTAGCAATTTTTCAACATCACTTACAAAATTATAGTAAAAAATTTAAAAGGTATTTCTCATATCTTATTTTATTCGAACAAAATTTTTTAATTTTTTTTAAATTATCTCAATCATATATTATTTTAGTTCTATGAAAAAGAGAGTCCATCTTAATTGATAGAAATATTATATTTCTAACTATATATTTTTACATAAACTTTAAAGTTCTTTTTAGAAAATGTAATTATATTAGTTTTAGTTATTATTAAATTTTTAAATTGAAAGATTATATATGAGTAATATTACATAGATTTTTTATTATATTTATATTGACTTAATTAATAATATTTTTGTGGATTCGTCACTGTTGTATATGGTTATAGAGAATATTTCAAATTTGAATCCAATAGTATCATAGCAAAAAAATTATATATAATTAAATTTAAACATAAACTTGAAAATTTTGACTAGACTTGAATTTTATAAACACGACTCTACTAAAAAAATTGAAATAAAGTTTGAGATATAAAATAAAACTCGTTAATTTGACAAACTCAAAAATTTTGACTCGACTCGGTTAAATATTCACCCCTATTTACAATGACTCTATATGTTAGGATTAATAAAATAAAATATTGTTATCAGTTGATTTAATAAAATATTATATTATATTTTTAAAAATATTAATGATTTAAATATTATCATTTTAAATAAATTAAATTAAAATATATTTTAATAAACTTTTATATTATGAAATTAAAATTAATAAATATAATATAATTATTTAATTAAAAATTAGAAAAAATAACTTCATATGTATAGATGTGACATTATTTTTTTTATTAAAGTAGATGTGACATTTTTTTAAAGTAGATGTAACATTTTTTTTTGTCAAATGGGACTTCTATTGTGCGTTGTTAATTTTTTTTCCATTTTTGTTGATTGATGATAGTATTAGTTTTTGGGTTAATCTCCTACCATCAATATTTATTAATTTTTCTTTAATTTATCATATTTTTACTTTTTTCTATTTTTTATTTTTAATAATTTTGTCATTATGACACACTTTCCTCTTTCTCTATTGTAACGCTCAATAGCGGGTTAGTAGTTCAGGTTAACTATAGACTTATAAAATGACCCTAATAGACTTATATAATAGTTTGGACCAAATTAATTTTGGAAGTGGGCTTGAGTTAGGCCCAAATGATAGAGACTTGGGACTATTTTAATATTAGGATGAAAGAGGGAGGACTAAAAGTGAATCAACCCACAGCTTAAAATAAAAGATGAAAACCATTAAAACTTAGATGATTTCACATGTACCCTTTTTTCCTCACCAAATATTCTTCATTTTGTTCTTCTTTCTCTCTTATTCTTCCTCTCCAAGGGTGAGCTAAAGATGAAAGCTTTTGGATTTGTGAGCTTAGTTTGAGTTAGCAAATGTAAGAATATTAACCTTCATCCTCCAAGTTTCAATTCAAGGTTTGGTCATAGAAACCAAAATTGGGTTTTAGGGAGGTTTAAGAGAATTAAGTGTTCTGGCCCTTTTTCAGTGGATTCAAGTTATAGAAGTTTTCTTAACTTCAATCCAAGCACCTAGTTGATTTAGTAATTCATTTTCTTGATTTGATTAGTGAAAGAAGTGAAGGGGAGCTCTACAGCTAAAAGAAATGAGAAATTGATCATTGGTTGATTTGGGAGAGTTTCCAGCAGCTAAGACACAAAGGTAACACATTCACAACTTCTTCATACCATTTGTGAGTCATTAGGATTATCAAAAGAGTTGAGTTTGAAGCATGTTAAGTATTTCATGGTAGATTCCATGTTTTGGTGTTTTAATATATTCTAAAGCCCTTTTTATGACCCTTCTAAATCTTATAAGACTTTAGTAATGTTTGATAACCTCAATGGGACTTTTAGGGTGGCTCAGAGGGTGATTTTCGAGCCTAAATAAGGTATTTTCGGGCGTGAGTATCGTATTGAAAGAACAGTATTGATATTATTCTTGTGAGAGGCAAAAACAAGGGGTTTTATGGGGTGAGTATCGATACACATTATAAGAGTACCGATACTGGGGTCCCGGTTTCGAGACCTATAGACTGGTATTGAGACCAATTTTCCAATGCTCATTTTTTGTATCGGTACTAGAAGAGAGTACTGATACCAAGTATAGAGTATCGATACTCCCCATAAAAGTATCGATGCTGAGGAAATTTTCAAAACATTGAACCCAAATCTAGAATCGATATCCTGGTTAGTATCGATACCTTAGCTTGGGAGCATCGATACTGATGTGAGACTATCAATACTACCCCCTTTTTCCCAATTGAAAATAGAAGTAGAGTATTGATACCCTAGGTGGAGTATCGATACTCAAGGGTCGATACCAATATCGAGAGGCCTAATATCGGTACCAGCTACATTTTTAGGGCATTATTTATGAGGGATTTTAATAGGTAATGAGGTTTCCTAATAAATCCATAATTGCTCTCAAATAAGACTAGAAGTGGTAGCAAGAATAATAATTGAATACAGTATAAACGAGATCAATTAGGGTGACACAAAACTAGCTTTGGTCGATGCTTAGGAAAAGATTAGGACACCCAAGTTTCTTTAGTAAATGATATTGGTGTCGAGAAAATAGAATTGTCCGGATATCTTTAGGTAGTACGCGAGGCACTTTAAAATGACTAACTAGAGCGCAAGGCTCGACACTCGCCAAAGATGAGTTAGTCGAGGGTGTTGTGTATGATGTAGAGATTTCAGACCTCATCCTAGGTAGAGTAGAGGGGTGTTTGAATGTAATGCCCTAGAACCCAAATCAGTAGTTTCAGTCAACCCGAAACCCGTCAATAGAGCCCATTAGACCTCTTAAGATAGTTTGGACCATTTAGAGAGGGTATTGGGCTTATGTTGGCCCAATAGTTAAAGGATAGTGGTGTTTTTAAAAATGAGTTAAAGAGAGAATGACTAAAAGTGTAGTTTACCTGTAGCTTGTTTTAAAGGTTAAAAAACCCTTATCTCCCTTATTTTTCATGTGAGTCATTCCCCAAAAATATCTTCCCCTTTTCTTCTTCTTCAGACTCTTCTTCTTCATTTCTTCTACCTAACCAAGATCAAGTTTTAAGGAATTTCAAGCTTAGTTTGAATCCATCAAGGTAATAGTCTTATTCTCATTCTCTCAAGCTTCATTATAAGCTCTTAATCTTAGGTTTTGGTTAAGATTTATGAAATAGGTTTTTATGGATTTTAAGGAATCAAGTGATTCAAGCCATTTTAGGAAATGATTTGAGTTATAAAGAATGTATTTAAGTTTTATCCAGCCTCTAGTTGAGTAAATAACTCATTTTTATACCTTGTTAGTTAAAGAGGTTGAAGAGAGTTCAAAAGCCAAGGGTAAAAGAAAGGTGAATTCCTAGTGTTGAGAGAGGTTTAGCATCCAAAGAATCCAGGTAACATACTATTAGATTTTCCATACCAGTTGTAGGATCATTAGAATAAAGTTTAGCTTGAAGTTGAGTATGAGCTTGTTTATTAGCCTTCCAAGGTAGATTTTATGTTTAATGTTTTTAGCATGTTTCTAAGCCATATTTATGCTCCTCTTTAATCGTATAAGACTTTAAGAATGTTTGGGGACCTCACTAAGGTCTTTAGGTTAGATGAATAGCACATTTTTTAGTAAAAATGTGTTTTCTGCAGGTGAAGTATCGAGACTATAGGGGATAATATCGATACTTGTTCATCATTCCAAGCAAAATGCGTGTTTTTTGGTATGAGTATCGAAACTCTTACAAGAGTATCGATACTTTAGGAATAGTTTCAAAAATCCTAGGAAAGTATCGAAACTTTCCAGAACATAAGGCTAAAAAGTATCGGAACTTATATAAACTATCGAAAGTTTAACAGAAATATCGATACTCCAGGGATAGTATCGATACTTTCAGTTTGTTTTGGGCAAAAAGGTCAGTTTTTAGGGATTTAGAATCGAGGTACCCCCAACACTTCTTTATATCATCAAATACTACAAGTGGAACAATATTAATGTTAATTCAAACGTAGAAACCAAATAATTAGGGGAAAATAAGATTATCCTTGTTTGATACTTGGGAAATAATTCAGACACCCAAGTTCCTTTAGAAAAGCTAGTGGAGTCAAAAATATAGATGCGACCAGATATATCCTTAGGTGGGGTGAAAGGCCCTTAAAACTGACTAATAAGGCCGAGGCTTGACACTCGTAAGGGGTGGGTTAGTCAGGGGTATGGTGTCCGATGAAAAATTCTGGGGGTCATATCTCAGTAGACTAGAGGGTTTATGAACTTCGAGATGCAGTAATCCCTCAAAGGCATAATGATGTTTATAGTAGAGTAGAGAATGAGTATCGTAAGGATATTCACTAAGAAGATCAGATCAGTAGACTTGATAGCTAGCATTTCAGTGACATGCAATTAGTATGTTTCAGCTATTAGTGTGTCGTTGAGCTAGTTAGCTCAACCTTTGGATTGTTTCTGTGGGCAGATCCGTAGATCCAGTAGGTGAGGAGCAGTAGATAGACCAAAACCCAGTTTGGACCAGTGTAGGTTCAAAGTACGTCTCAGTATTTTTGAAAGAGCATGTATATTTATAAATTTTATTGTCCAGTTGAGTTGTAGTTTCAGTAGAGCAGTCTGTATCATTTTTGTAAAGTATAAATATTTTTAAATTTGAGCTCCTTGGTAAAGATTTTATTTATGCTTCAGTTTATTTTATAGTTATTTTATATTTAAAGAAAGTAAGAAAAAGTTGGTCATCCACTTCGGTG